AGAATAAAATGTAGAAAATCAGTTCAAATTTAAGTGATATTTATGTAAAACCAACAAATTTAAAAGTGTGATGTAATCGGTTTAAAATACTCAGAAAACCGGTTCGGTTTAGTACCAAAAACCGGTTTTTCAAATTATTTCAATTTGAAATGTAACAATAAAATGTAGAAAATCAGTTCAAATTTAAGTTATCATTATTTTAAATGAACAAATTTAGAAGTGTAATGTAATCGTTTTAAAATATTTTGAAAACCGGTTTGGCATAACTTAATAAACCTGCAACCGGTTTTTCTGGATATTTTAAAACAAAATCTGAAAAACCAAAAGATCAATTCGTACTTAAGTGATTGTTTTTTTTAACAAATAAAATCAGAAGTGGGATGTAATCGGTTTTAAAATACTCAAAAAACCGGTCCCGGTATAACTTAATAAACCTTCAACCGGTTTTCTAATTATTATAAAACAAAATATAGAAAACCAAAAATCAATTTGTATTAAGTGATTGTTTTTTTTTAACAAAAAAATCAGAAGTGGGATGTAATCTGTTTGAAATATTCAGAAAACCGGTTTGGTATGACTTAATAAACCTACAACCGGTTTTTTAATTATTTGAATTTTTATTCTTACATTTAATTTAAAAGTAAGAATAAAATGTAGAAAAATCAGTTCAAATTTAAGTCATTTTTATTTAAAACCAACAAATTTAGAACTGAGTATTTTAAATAACAATAATTCAAAATACTCAGAAAAACCGGTTCGGTTTAGTACCCAAAACCGGTTTTATAATTATTTTAATTTAAAATGAAAGTATAAAACGTAGAAAATCAGTTCAAATTTGAGTCATTTTATTTAAAAAACCAACAAATTTAGAAGTGTGATGTAATCGGTTTTAAAAAAAATATTTAGAAAGCCGGTCGGTATAGCTTAGTAACGGTTTTCTAATCATTTTTTTAATTAAAAATGTAGAAAATCAGTTTAAATTTAAGTTTAAAATTAAAATTTAAAATTAAAATTAAAATTTATTAAATCAGTTTAAATTTAAAAAAATAGAAGTGTGATCTAATTGATTTTAAAATATTCAAAAAACCGGTTTACTTTAGTACCGAAAACCGGTTTTCTAATTATTTTAATTTAAAATGCAAGAATAAAATAGGTAGAAAATCAGTTCAAATTAAGTCATTTTTATTTAAATCAACAAATTTAGAAGTGTGATGTAATCGGTTGAAAATACTCAAAAAACCGGTTCGGTTTAGTACCCAAAACCGGTTTTATGATATCTCAAATTTAATTTCTATAAATTTAATCTAATTCTCTATTTATATGAACCCATTCTAAGTTTAGTTGTTATTAGTTGTAGCAATGTGTCAATTATCTTCCCATCGGTTTCATACCGGTTTAGTATCAGTCCATTCCTCAAACCGACGTCGGTTTTCACTTAGAAAAATTGGCAGTGGCATTTATCCCTATATATACACATGACAAATTTTTGTTTATACAATTACTCGTATATATTATATATATAAAATTTAAATTTTTCCCAAAATATATTCTTAGAGAAAAAAAATATCCACGACATCCATTAGAAAATGCGGTTAACTTTAATTCAAATTTAATATATGGCATATTTTGATTGACGTAATAATTGATCGATGATTGTGTTCGATGTTGGGGTCACCAATTTCGAAGTCGTCGAAGGGACAGACTAACCTTGGTGTGTCAGCTAAATTTAGGGAGGGAACTTGGTTCTCTGGGTTT